GGAAAAATATGTTATATGTCTTTTCCTATTTTTATTACTTATAGTAAACAAAATAACAAAATAAATAAATAAGTTAATTAATTATTGAATACATACATATACATATTGAATATAGTTATCTTTATTTTGTATTTTATATAACTGAAATAATATATACTTTCATTATTTTAGTCATTATCATATAAAATACAAAATAAAGATAACTATTTATTGAATATATGTGTATATGTATATATTAATTAATTGATTAATTAGTTATTTAGTATTTACTACATAAGGATAAAAGTAAGAAAAGTATATAACATTTTTCTTCAATGATATATATAGTATTATATGTATATTTTTTATTTATTATTTTGTCATATTTAGTTTGTATTTATTTGACACCTTGTATACGCTTATGTTTTCTCGGACATTATATTGCAGCTTTGCGACGAAATTTCAGTCGAGGAAACAAGCGCAAGCATCGTTTGTTTACAAACTTCCGATGACACATGTACACAGACCACACGTCAGTGGGTATGAGTCACCACTACAAACAAATGCGTACACACGGACCTACGCGGCATAGGTCCGTAGGCTGCGCCGATAATGTCATTTCATTTTTAGTACCATCGAAATGATGGCGCTTTCGCGTCGGAGTTCGCCCGTCACTTCAGCATCCTCTTAAAGTCGAATACATATATCGTATCTTATAGAAGTTGTTTCAATCTCTAAGCATGTAAAAACGCATATTTAAAAACATAAGTATTCCTTATTTTTAGTAATTTACTACATATTTAAAGTCCATCAAAATCAAAGAAACACAACTTCATCTTATGCAATAAATAAACACATTAATAGCTCAGGTTTTAATTATTCTTTTTATGATGTTAATCAAAATGTTACGCATATCTTTTTGCCGATGTAAAAAATCGTTAAATATTTAGTTCTTTATACCTTTTACGTCATTGAATACGAACGGCACTTCCCTTGCAAGCGCTAAATGTAGTATTAATAATTTAAGATAGTTCCAACGGTACAATTGTTGCCAAAATTATAGAATGTAGGTAGAGTTAGATAAGTGAAAATATGATAGAAAATAGCAAACGAAGCAATTTGTTGTTTTACTTGATTTTTGATTCATTTTATCCTTCACTGTATCTTTCACACTTAAACGACGATACACTTCTTGCTGCTGTCTTTCTGCCCTCCATGAATGATATTCAATTATATCATTTCTTTATGTTATAAAAATTATTCAACAATTATGTGGTAAATATTTGCGAAATTTAAATATGGTTCTTATAACATCATCTACTTCGAAAGTACTTTTCCTATAATTAACCCTTAGTCCCGACGGTTCTTTTCGGCACCTTTAATCCCGACTCATGGGTCGTTTGCGTCTTTGCGTTATTTGGATCAGTAAAAACGCTTTAAAAAATCTGAAAAAAAATCATGCTTCTTTCAACCTTCAACTTGAAGTCCCAATCATAATATTTCGATAAAAATTATTTTTTTAGGTAGGGGATATGACGCGTTTCGTACCGTTTTCAAAATTACAGCACTTTGAAATTTCGCTTGGGTCGAAAACGACCCATGAGTCGGGACTAAGGATTAAACAAAATTGTCTGATTTTCGTTTGATTAGCCTGTGAAAACCATTGAATAAATGGCATGTTAAA